GTCAAATTGAAATATTATTTTTTTTTCTTTTTTCTTTCAACTTATTGATTCTTAGGGCTATCTACCCAAACTTAAATATTTAAATATCTATTTACTATATGATGCATATATAATTTGATTCAAATCCTGACTGGATTACTTAAAAGCTTGTATTACTGTACAGTTGCTTAATTTCTCTATGGGGAGAATAACATTGTTATATCTAGTTATAGGGCTGTGGGGATGAAATGAGATCATGCAGGTAAAAAATCTTAGTGTAGTGGTACTTGCTGAAAGTTGGCTGTTGTCATTGCTAGTTATTAGCAATGGTACCACTATGTGTCCCTGATTGCAGGTGATTAAAGGAATACAGATATCGATATAACAGACTGTCAGGTTGTTACTGATAATAGGTACCTTTCAATATATAGATATTTCAGCTAATTTGTAAACTTTAATTTTGTTTTTCTCACAAAGATATTACTTCCCTCCCTTGATTAAACTGAAAATTCATTATCAACTCATGACAGTGGAAAGTTGACTATAACTATAGAAGACTAATACACTAAAGCTGCATTTTTGGAACTCTATTTGGAAGTCTGGGTCATAGCTGCAGGAAATAATGATATCAACGAAAGAAGAAAATGTGATTTAAAATCATTATTACCATCTATAAAACTAAATGTCTGTCCATGAGAGAAATCTAAGGAGAGTTTCACTCATAAATGCCTGAAACGATTGATTCTTCAATAATCAGGCTATTACGGTCTACATTTGATATTAGTATTGGATTATAATAATGTCTTTAGAATTTCTTTTGCTTACTTTCAATATTATTATCCTTGAGTTGGCTTTCTGCATGACTGGAACAGGGTGACTGTGTGAGTCAGAGACAAGCAGGAATCCCTCCAAGGGTGTGGGCTACATTGCAGCCCTGAGCTCAGGCTGTCTTTGAGAAGAACTTTTCCTGTCTGTATCTTGCTGGCTTGGAGACAGGCTGAAATGAACCAACTGATTCCTGTCTAAGAAAGTTGAGTACTGGCTGTTCTGTCTTCTGACTCAGTGAAGACTGCTGGGAAACTTGAGAAATCCCAGAAGAGCTTTTAAAACACCTCAGTGCAATTGTGATGTGAAGTCTAAATAGTTCTAATCTCCTAATAAGAAGTTTAAACTAACTGATGATAGATCTCATTGGGAGACCCTGGACCTAACAGCTATGCTGTGTTATCCATACTTTGGCTTTTGCAAGAATAATTGTAGAAATATGACCCTCTGTCAATGGCAAAACAAGTTATTCACTTAATCATCCCTTGGTATATTTTTCTATATTATAAGGTTATATGTAGTTGGAGTTGAGTAATTTTTCTTTAAGCTAACCAACCACTTGAAGTTAAGAAGTTCCTTGAAGACTGTCTTTTAGATCTTGGCCTTCAAGGTGGGTTCTATTCCTTGTAGTTCTAGTTATAGTATTTATCCACACAACTCCCTCAGTTAATGACATTTCCTCCCTTCTCCAAATGGCAGGTTACTGCCTCCTGAATGGTTTGGAGCTCTCTGCTTCCCTCTCCTGACAGAGATGTGTGGGTCATTCTTCAGTTGATAGCTCAGCACTTGGACAGTTCAGGGGTGTATCCGAACATTTAACTGTAGCTCACTAGTGATCCACCTGGTGCTTGAAACATCTGTGAGAGAACAAGTGAAATGTAAATTCTTTATGTTTATACATCTTATTCCTCCGTGGCCAGATCATTAGTATCCTGTACACTTGGACCCCACTGTCTTAGAGTATGGTGTTTGCTGGAAAAAGTGGAGTCAGAATTTTTGCCCTTATGTTTTATAGACAACCACGAGAAACATGTGATACTTTTATGATTTTATTCACCAAGGATTGCAGACATTAATCTTTACCTTCTGCTTTGTCCACATGATAAATTCTATTTCTGAATTCAGTGTCCATAGCCAGAAAGTGGTTGTCTCTCTATATGCATTTCTGTGTTTCTTATTAGGTCTTCCTTAAGAAATATACAACTCAACATGGCTTTTTGTGTGGCACTAAGGATTATACCCAGGCTATAACTTCACCCTGTTTTCATTTTTCATTCCTGCCTTAGTTTCCTGAGTCTTGGGATTAGATGCAAGACTAGCATAGCTGGCAATGTAACTTCTTACCTTTTCTGCTTGTAAGATCAGCAGGAAATATGACACCCAGGGAGGGACCTAATGAGGATTATTTCCCTGTTCCTTTCATTTAAAATTTTTTTCTTGTATTTTATAAGTATGCAGACATGGTATAAATTTATATACCTCCTTATGAGTTGAATGTATCATTCCCAGCACATAGATGTTAAATCTCAGAGTACATGTGATGATCACATTTTCATCCAGATTTAGGTGACCAGCTATATTACAATGGAAAGCGTTTTTTAAACCTGCATTGAGTCATCAGACCAATAACAGTTTTACTTTTAAATACGGTTGATGCTAATTCTTCAACCACAAAACGAAGACTTTGTTGAACTTTGCAGGCTGACTTCCTCCTCTCTGCTCATTGGCTTCCTTATGTATTTCCTTCCCAAGAGCATTTTCTAAGCAGGGCTCCCAGCTGCATATCCGTGCCCTGCTGAACCGCCTCCTGTCTGGCTTGAGCATCTTCCTCTTGTTCTTTTCAGCCCCATATGGCCTGGAGCTGTGGCGAGTCCTGAGACCGGCAGATACAGAGGGAAAGAGGAAAGTGCTGTTGCTGTGGAAGGTAGGAACCTCCTTTGGGTTATCCCTCCCCTGCTTTAAAAACATTTGGTCTCTTCCTCTCTATAAACACTCTGATTCTTGATACTTACCTCCTGAATTTCCCTTCCTACGTGGCTTTGTGTTGCCTCAAACCTCTCCATAGGTCACCCTGTAGGTCGTGTGAATGCACATTATAGACACAAGCCACTCTCTTTGATCTGAAACATTGATGTTTGGGGCAGTTACAAAGTGCAAGCCCAAGAGGCACTGTGGCCTTCTGTAGGAAGCCATGGCTATTGACCTTCCCTAGGACACAATGTCAGACTCTGCAGCCTCACCTCACACCTAAAAGGAGCACTGACTGGGGTGTCAGGTTATCTGATAGTGCCAAAACATCTGACACTATCCCTGTGAGCACCAGATGGGCAAGGTACAAAGGTGGGAGAGCGGCCACATGGTCCTTTCTAGGGTAGAAACCTGGGATAGAGGAAGGAAAAGGCAGCTAGGTGATACGGAGAAGAGGAGGAGGAGGAAGAGGAAATAAGGAAGAAAGAGGGAAAGAAACGGAAAAGGAGAGCAAGAAGGTAAGCGGGAAATGGAAAAAGTCAAGCAGAAAGAAAAGCCACAGAAAACAAAAGAGAAGTTAAGGAACTGAGGGGAAGAAAACATTGAGAGAGAGAACTGCCAGTCTCGTTTAAGGCTGAGACTTTGGGTAGGCTGACCAGGCTCCAGTGGATGGACTCACACTTACTGATTGTAAGCCTCAATACATACATATATATGAGTACATGAAATTGAGTTGGGGGGCAGTAAAGGGGTTCAGATACGGGAGGGGATCTAAATATGATCAAAATATATTGTATGAAATTCACAATAATTCAGTTAAAAAGAGAGTAAAAAATATTAAAAAAAAAAAGAAACCCAACCCTCTTTAGTATGTCTGCAGAAATCTCAGGAAACAGTCTGCTATCTTACATGTATTAAAGTTCAGGCAACATAAATTCTTTTGAACATGAAGAAATTACCCTGACTTGCTAAGTGACATCTCAAACCTATTACTACAGGCTTGACACGTTCTCTGCTTTTACCCATCTCCTTGGGACACCCTCAGATTGCAGAGGCACAGACATAGGAAAGCCAGTGATGTTGGGAAATCTTTGAGAATCTATCTCAGATGTAGTGAAGTGTGGGAAGAGATGACTCTGTTGACATCTTTTGGGGGCAAGGAAAGTAAACAATAATGCCCAGATGTCGTCAAGTAGGGCAGCCTGTGAAATAGGTAGCATGGACTTCCCTGCCTGCCTGCCCTCTTTTTCCCCATGCTAGGGACTGGTCTTCTTTTGCCTCTATAAGAGAGGGTTCTCTTTTTTTAATGTTATTATTTTTATTTTATGTGTATGAGTGTATTTATTGCCTGCATGTGTGTAAGTGCACCTGTGTCCTGCAGTGCCTGCCAGAGGTTAGAAGAAGGTGTTGGATCCTCTGGAACTGGACTTATAGATGGTTATTAGCTGCCATGTGAGTGCTAGGAATTGAACCTGGGTCCTCTGCAAGAGCAGCCAGTGCTCTTAACCATCTTTCCAGCCCCAGAAAGGGTTTTTCTAAGGATTCGAGTTCTTTAACAAAGTGCACACTAAAAGACTCTATAATTTGATAGTGGTGAATGTTATATGATTCTAGGGCTCCCAAAAATCACTGAACTATACACATTTAAATAGTGACTTTTATAGATGGGAGTTGTAACTCGGGGCTAGAATGCTTATCTGCCATTGGCAAGGCTGCATGCTCAGTTATCAGCACTGAAAACAACAAACAAAACCTGGCAAATTTAGTAAAATGTGAATCTCCTATCAATAAAACTCTTATTTTAAAAAGAGAATGTGCTGTGTTGACAGATAGAAAGACCTTATCATTAGAGAGAGTCTAGTTGATCCTTTGTTGCTATGGTCAGTAAATTCATAAACTGGGGTGGCAGTGGGTTAAAGTGGCTTAAAACCCTGTCCAACCACACATCCAGTCATTCTGATTCATCTATGTTTGTAATCAGTAACAAAAGTTGAATACTTGGAAGCCCTGTAATTCCTAAGAAATAGTCAACATCCTTACTCCTAAGAATTTTTGGTTAATGGGTCCAAGTTCAAGGCTGAAAATAGAGAATTTGGCTCAGAACCTGTGGGGTTCCACTTTAAACTCCTTACCCAAGGTTTAGGATAGGCAGGGAAGCCCTGAAAATTCTGGGCCTTTTAGTTGGATGTCTGGCCTGGTGCCTTGTCAAGGGTAGCTGGCTCTCTCCTTAGAGGGGGAAAATTAAAGACAAGGGCATAGGTTCTTGGCCAACCCTTGATAACAACTGGACTTGAGATTGGCCTAGAGGAAATACCTGGGATTTTTAACTTTTATCCCTCTGCCCATGCATTACGGAGTGGAACATGCAGAAGAAAGTGAGGTAGCTTGCTCACATTGGCTTGGACAGTCTACTTTTTGGCCCCATGAAACTGGACATGTGTTAAGAGTTGACACCAAGGTACTAGTTAGAAGATCTTTTCTTCTGGCACTGGGAGGGTAATATCACCACACAGTCAGTGTCAGTCATGTTGGAAAGGTAGTCACCTGATTGTAGCTTAGCATCTTATAGCTAACATTACATTCCCACCATTTATCACTGTCTTGCTCCCTTTCTTTTTCTGGTATTGGCAATATTTTTTTTCTTTGGCCAGGCATGGTGCACATGCCTTTAGTCCCAGCACTTGGGAAGCAGAGGTAGGCAGATCTCTGTGAGTTCAAGGCCAGCCTGGTCTACATAGTAAGTTCCAGACCTGCTGGGGCTACAAGGGAGACCCTGTCTCAAAAAGACCACAAGAAAATAAAAATAGAAAATAAAATCAAATTTGTTTTCTTTGAATACAGAAAGCAAGAGGAGCCCCAATCTTGGAGAAAACACTTGGCTACAACATTAGTTACTTTCCAGAAAACAACACTAACCTCACAGAGGTCATCAACAGCACTAACCAGCATTGTGAACTGCTTCTAACAGGCGAGACACACTGGGTGTTTGTGACTTCTTACAATTCTCTTGGGACCTCTCCAAAGGCCATTCTGAGAATCCCAGCTGTTCAGGAGAACAGTAAGTGCCTCTTCCTTGAGTATCCAGTCCTATCTTGTTGATCAAGGAGTAGGACTTGTCCTTGGGGTAGTTGTTTCCATTGAATCAAAATGAAGAGAGAAGGATCCTGGACTTTTTAGTGGTAGGTTAAACAGAATCTGATGATACCTAACAAACCCCCTGAAATAAAGTTCCCTTAGAACAAGGCCTCTGCTAAGAATTAGACTTCATGAGTCACACAGAACAAAGTCAGAGCCTAGCAGCTTTGCGTGCTGCTTACATCTGTTATGGTTCAAGTGTCTGAGAGCAGGACTGAGCCGTATAAAATAGTCATATTTGAGACCTTTGTCCTCAAAAACCAGTTCCTCTCCTGAACTCTCTCCCCAGCTGTTGCTGACCACATCTCCACAATGGCTGAGCATTTGCTTCCATGTTTCCTCCCTTTCCCCCTCCCATTTGACTGCCAAGTTAGGAAAATGCTTATATTTGTACTTGCCAATAAGTTACTATACTTTTTCCTCTTTTGAGACAAAGTCTCTAACTCTGTAGCTTAGCCTGGCCTCCAATTTATGGGAAATTCTTCTGCTTCAGCCTCCTGAGTACTGGAATTACTGACATTAGCCACTCTGCCTGGCACTTAGACTTTTGATGAAGTTGTTTGAACATCTTACTGAACCCAGACAATCTCTTATTTTGTATGTTTTAGAATAGATTGCCTTCTTGGATAGTGCCTGTGTGACTGTGTGTGTGCAATGTTCCCATGCATGCAGATGTGGAGGCCAAAGGCTAACATTGGGTCCTTTCCTTTATCATTTTCCACTAATTTTTTGAGACAGGGTCTCTCACTGAACCTGAAGCTCACTGATTGACTAAACTGCCTGGCAAGCAAGGCCCCAGGGTCTTCCTGTCTGTTCCCAGGGCTGTGATTACAGGCATGCAATACCATGCCTGGATTTTTTTGTGGATTCCAGGATCCAAACTGAGGACCTTATGCTTGTGGAGAAAGCACTTTACCCACCGAACCATCTCCTCAGCACCCTACTTCTTAGATTTTTGTTCAAGAATTGCAACTAATAGAATTCTGTTCTGTCTGTACCTGCAGCTTCTGATTCTCGTGCCTCTACTTCCTGGTTTTTCTCTATTGAACTTAATAATTCTATCTTTTTTAGTTTTTCATTTGTTTGTTTTGCTTTTTTTTAAGGGTCTCCCTCCCTATAGCCCCAGCTGGCCTGAAACTCTCTATGTAGACCAGGCTGGCCTCGAACTCACAGAGATCCACCTGTCTCTGCCTTCCAAGTGCTGGGATTAAAGGCATGCATCCCCACACTCTGCTCTTGTGTATGAGTGTTTTGTCTGCATGTATGTAAGTGTACCTCATGTATATAGTACCTATGGAAGCCAGAAGAGGACATTGGATACCCAGAAACTGGAGTTACAGGCAGTTTTGATCTGTCAAGTGGGTACTGGGAACTGAACCCTGGTCTTCTACAAGAAGAGTAAGTGCTTTTAACTGCTCAGTCATCTCTTCAGCCCTAGATCTATTTTTTAGAAGATGGGAGATACAGGAAAATTTAGCAATTATGCAAGATTTATCCAATGTGATTCTAGTCTGAGTCTGCAGGAACCAAATTGGCATAATGTATTTATCTTAAAATTAGTATTAGTAAGATGACTTGAAATTCTTGTCACAGATGCTGGATGAGCTGACTGGTTATTTGCCTCTATGGGATCCATATTCTCCTCTTCAAAAGAAGGTTGCTTCTACTTCAGCTTTCTGGGTTTTATGAGTCCTTAGTTAATGGACAACCATGGAGTGGTCTGAGGCAGGGCATGAGAAAACATAGCCACTCATGTGATGAGTGGACCCAAGGCACCGGAGCGAAGGAAGTTCGGGTGGAGCCTGAGCTGGCAAAGGGGAAGTAGCTCCTGAGAGTGGTATTTGCTAGACCCATGTGGCTGCTTCATGTCTGCCACAAGATATTGATGGTGTTTACAGTTGAGGTCCTTCCCCTATTTCAAGGATTAAATGCTTTTTATCTCACTCTTGAGGATGTTTTATGTTGAGAGGGAGCACTCAAGAAGTTCTTGTTGAAGGATGGAAGGAGCTAGCAATTTGTCTTAGTAGACAGATTTAGAAACTTCTCTTTGAATACTCTTTAATGAGGCCAGGCCCTTCCTTTTGCATGGTTGACCCCTGCCTTTGTGAGCCATACCCCTTGTGATTCCTCTATTGCATCCTTGGAACTTTAGACCCAACTTACTTCTTCCTCTGAGCTCCAGGGTTGGTGAGGAGGAGGCATATAAGGTTTGGAATGAGTGCTCACCCATCTTCAGGGCAGGATTTGTGCACAAGTCACTTATTAAGAAAATACCTCCAGGGAGACCAGAGAAGTCCCAGGCCAGGCAGGGGAAGAGGCCAAGCGTTATCCTGAGGATGCTGTCACAAAGTACCACAAACTGAGTGGCTTAAAACAACAGAAATTCATTGCCCCATAGTTTTGGAGGCTAGAGACACAAAAAGCAAGTTTGTACTGGGCTTTGCTCCCTCCAGAATCTCTAGAGGAGCGTCCTTCTTTTCCTTCCCTTGCTTCTAGTAGCCTGAAGCCATGGCTTAGGAAGTTCCAGTATCTCCATCTTTCCAACCCTTTCCATATGATCAGCTTCTTGTGCCTGTTTCTGTGTCCAAATCTCCCTTTTGTTCTTTTGTTCTTTCCTTCCTTCCTTCTTTTCTTCCTTCCTTCCTTCCCTGTCTCCCCCCCTTCTGTGTATGTATTTATGTGTGTATATGCATGTGAATGTGTGCACACATGTGGAGGCCCCAGAGGTGCCTCAATTGCTCACTACCTTATTCTCTGGGACAGTATCTTGAAATAAACCTGGAGCTCGCCAATTTGGCCTGCCAACAAGCTTCAGAAACTCTCCTATCCAGTACCGGGATTATGGGAACACACTGCTGAATCCAGATTTTTTTATTTAAAATTTAAAATTTTTATTTTATGTGTAGGGGTGTTTTGCTTGTATGAACGTACGTACATACGTATGTATATAAGTGCATCTGTGTGTATAATGCCCACAGAGGTCAGAAGATGGCATTGTTTTTCCTGGAACTGGAGTTAAAGATGGTTGTTAGCCACCATATGGGTGCTGGGAACCGAACCAGATCCTCTGAAAGAGCAGCCAGTGGTCTTAACCATTGACCCATCTCTATAGCTCTGAATCCAGCTTTCTATGTGGGTGTGGGAAATGAAAGTCAGATCCTCATGCTTGTGTGGCAAGCAATTTACTGACTGAACCAGCTCCAGCCCCTCTTTTATAACCCCCTTTTCCTATAAGGACATCAGGTCACATTGACTACAGGGCCCACCATCCACATTTTATCTGCAGTGTTCCCATTCCTATATAGCATTGTATTCTGTAGCATTGTGGGTATGATTTCATAATAGCTGTGAGCAGGGGAAGGCAGGGAAGCAGCAGCAGGAGCTCTGGGGTAAGGTGGGAATGATGTCTAGGCTCTGTGATCTCTGCACTGGCTCTGCCCCTTCAGCTTCACCTGTTCTTCAAGCCTTAGCTGTGCTTTCCCAGAGCCTTTTTAGGCTGAGGAATTCCCTGGCCTTGTCTCTGGTAGGAGTAGCAGGTAGAGAGTCTCATAAATACCCAGTTTGAGAAAAGAACCCATAAGCCGAGGCTTAATCAATATTGAGACTCTTAGACACACACTCCTGCTGGGGGATTTTTTTTTTTTTTTGACTTGCAGAAATACACAGGAAGGGGCTGGGAGAGATGGCTGAGTGGTTAAGGAGCACTGGCTGCTCTTTTAAAAAAATATTTATTATTTTAATTTTATGTGTATGAGTGTATTGCCTGCATGTATGTGAGTGTACCCGTGTCATGCAATGCCGCAGAGGTCAGAAGAGGGCTTCGGATTCCCCTGGAACTGGAGTTAAGGATGGTTCGTAGCTGCTATGTGGGTGCTGGGAATTGAACCCGGGTCCTCTGCAAGAGCAGTCAGTGCTCTTAACCACTGAGCCATCTCTCCAGCCCCATAAATAATATATATGAAATACACACAGAATTTGCATCCTTTTAGTCAGTAGCTCTCTGTTTCTGGAAACAGGTTGATTTGGGGAAGGTAAAATCAGATTAAGAAGACATTTAATCATCAAAATTATTAGGTAAGGAAAAAAGAGGGGTCTGTAGTCAGAGGGTGAAAGCCACACTTTCAGGGAAGGCTGCAGTGGAGATCCTAAACGTTGACATTTCACAATTTGGCAATGACTAGGCACCAGTGTAGCTGATCATTTGGGTGGGTTGAGTAGCTGTGAAGCAGTCTTTCCTCTCCTTTCAGCCTTCCGGTGCATCGAGGGCATGCAGGCCCGTCTTGCTGAGGACCTGCTGCTGGTGGAGTGGCAGAGCTCTGCTCCCAAGGTGAACACCTGGGTGGTCGAGTGGCTCCTGGATTCCGAGTCAGAGTTCCCTTCCCTCTCCTGGGAACCCGTGTCTCAGGCCATGAACTGGACCATTAAGCAAGGTAGCTGGCACAGAACCTGCAGCCTCCATGCAGGATTTGTTTCATTTAAATCAGCTGTTAAATCCTTGACTTTGATTTCCAAGCTGGAAATGTGAGGACAGCGCTTGAGAAGTTCGGTGAACTGTCATGTTTAGTGGCGTTTCCCAGGCAAAGCTGGCACAGAAGGCCTGTGTTCAGGTGAAAAAGAAGCGTAATCTTTTAAAAATACAATGTTTTTATTGATTCTTTGAAGATTCATACATGCATAGAATGTATTTTTATCCTATTCACTTCCCACTTCTCCCACAACCCCTCCCAGATCTACTCCACCTTCCCTTACCCTCCCAACTTCATGCTCCCCCTTTTTTTTTCCTTTCTTTTTAAATAACTCACCGAGTCCAATTAGTGCTGCCCATATACACGTAGGAGTGGGGCCATCTACTGGATTACGGTTGATCTACCAAGGGCCACAGCCTTAAAGAAAAACGACTCTCTCTCCCCTAGCAGCCATCACCTGTTGGTAGCTCCTCAGGTAGGGCTAGGAGCTGGTGAACGCCTCCCCACTTCATGCTGGAATGTTGACTGGCTTGATCCTGTGCAAGCCTCATGGAGGCAACCACAGTTGCAGTGAGTTTAGGAGTGCATTGGTCCTGTCATGTCCAGAAGACAGAAACATAATCTTAACATCCACCATCAGAGAGTCCTTCCAGATATCTCGATCATCCCGGGTATGATGCCAGAGTCTGGGTCCCATTTGTCCTACCTAGGATAGTCCCTTCTATTCTAGCTGCATATTTGAGAGGGAGGCCCCTTCCCACAGATAACTTTCACTTAAAGTCCCTTCCCTTTGTGAGCCATGAATGAGGCTTTTCCCTTTTAATCTCATCACCCCAACTGTTTCCCAGTGCTCATGGCAACTGTATTAAGAAATATACTAGTGAGGCATGGTGACATATAATCCCAGTTCTCAGGAGACTAAGGCAGGACGAGGTTCTTGAATTTGAGGCTAGCCTGGGCTACATAGTGAGACTTCTGTCTCCAAAAAACAAAAACAAAAACAAAGCAAAAACAAACAAAAAAGCCTTAAGGGATTCAGGTAGATAGAGATCTAGAATGAATGATACTTGAGTTCTCCAGGGTGACATACTGTTGTCAGGATTACATTTTATTCTCTATGTTCTCAAATCATATGATAAATCAATGGTGGAGGAAGGACTGGATTTTTTTTCTCTTCATGGATGGCTCTCTATTTTAATTAAAGTGTCCAGAGTTTAATTCTGAGAGTTAATTAGAACATTTTAGAACAAGAGTAGACATTAGAGAATAGAAAAATAATTCTACATGTCTAAAGTCACAACTCAGTCCATCATTCTTTCTACCCCTCCACAATGCATACTTCTTAGGAACTAGTCAAAGAGACAGAACTCTCTCTCTCTCTCTCTCTCTCTCTCTCTCTCTCTCTCTCTCTTTCAGATAAATTAAAACCTTTCTCATGCTATAACATATCTGTGTATCCAATTTTGGGAGACCAAGTGGGAGAGCCATATTCCATCCAAGCTTATGCCAAAGAGAAAGGTATGTATGGACCAGCCTCGGGGAAGGGAAAGACAACACGGAGACAGGCTGGGAGTGTGGCCCATTCATGGTTCTCTTCAGCCTCATTTCTACTGCACCTTTATCTCCACGTCACCTTCAGCTGTGTATACTTGATGCAACTGAGGCCAGGTCATAGGGGCACTAAATTTCAAAAGTGGGTAGATAGGAAAGTTCAAGTCCAGTCCTCTCATTTTATAAATGAGAAATTGAGATTCACAGAGGTGAAACTAAGTTGCCCAAAGTCACAAAGAAACTGCAAATACAGCTGTAACAAAAAATCAACATTTAATTAATACCCATTCAGGGAGCCTTCAAAGGGTCATACGTATGTTAAAAATGACTCTCTCTCTCTCTCTCTCTCTCTCTCTCTCTCTCACACGTGTGTGTGTTTGTGTGTGTGTTCCTGCACATGTGTGAAGGCCAGAAGTCAATGATGTTACTCATCATTCCAGTCTGCCTTGTTTATCCCTTGAAACAGTTTCTCACTGGGACCTGGGACTTGCCTGTTAGGCCAGGCTGGCCGGCTGGCCAGTAAGCCTTAGGGATCTGCTTTTCTCCATCTGTCTAGCGCTGGGATTACAAACATTGCAAGCACTTTACCAACTGAGCTGTCTTCTCAGCCTCCCAAATAATTCTTATGAAGCCATAAACAAAGCCTTACTGGTACGTTATTCAGACTTTATCTTTTTGGAAGTTAACATCTTCCAGATTGTCTTAGTCTGTTTCTTCATTGCTGTGACAAAATATTCTGACCAATACCAACTTAGGGTGGAAAGGGTTTATTCAGCTTACATCTCCCAGGTCACAGTTCATCAGGGAGCCCAAGGTAGGAACTCAGGGCAGGAACCTGGAGGCAGGAGCTGGAACATAGGCCATGGAGGAACGCTGCTTACTGGCTTGCTCCCCTGGCTCCTGCTCAGCCTGCTTTCTTATGCAACACAGGCCCACCTGCCCAGGGGTGGCACTACCCACAGTGGGCTGGGCCCTCCCACATCACTCATCAAGAAGATGCCCTTCAGTCATGGCCACAGGACAGTCCAATAGAGGCAATTCCCTGATTGAGGCTCCCTCAACCCAGGTGTGTCAAGTTGACACTAAAGCTATCCAGCACACAGATTCAATGCTGGAAATTATCTCCTGTTATGCAAAGGTGAACCAGGGAAGTTAGTCTTCAAATGATAACAGATAGGCATGAAAGCTAGGTGCCAACTGGAGTGAGAGGTCTATAAGAAAGTACTTTGATATGCCTTTTAAGATGCCTGACTGCAAAAAACAATTTCTACAAACAAGTTGACTCATCAGTTCCTCATCCAGTCCCCTGCATTCCACCTTCAGCATTGTGGTTTCTGTTTGAGTGCTGACAGAGAGTCTGGGTGGGGGCACTGATCATTTGGTGTGTGATTCAGCATTCGTCATTTATCTCCCTGTCCTCTAAAGCTCCATCAGAAGGTCCCAAGGTGACCAAGGTGAAGAACATTGGTGTGAAGACAGTCACGGTCACATGGAAAGAGATTCCCAAGAGTAGTAGAAATGGCTTTATCAACAACTACACCATATTTTACCAAGCTGAAGGAGGAAAGGAATTCTGTAAGTATGATCATGGCCATGTGGGACCAACCCAACTCCCCATAGATGATGAGGATAGACCTGTCACAGGGTAAATTACATGGCTGTAACCTGCAGCCTTATATGAATACTTAGCTTTTTTGTGCCTCTTTGAAAATAGAGTCAAGAGCACTATGAGTTTAAAGAGACTGAAGTGACATAGCCAAGAGTCCTGCAGAGAATGAGAGGAGTTGATGTAATTTCTCCTGGTCAGTCACTGAATGAGAGGACCCACCCCCAACGAAGCTCTCTGACTGTATCTGGGAGGGATCTGCCCAGCTTAAAGAATGGGCTAGTACTGGCCCAGCATGGTGGTACATGCCTTTGCCTTTAATTCCAGCAGCTGGGAGGCAGAGGCACATGGATCTCTGTGAATTCAAAGCCAGCCTGGCCTGTATTATGAGTTCTAGGCCAGCCAGGGATTTATAGCAAGACCCTGTCTCAAAAAAAAGAATGGGATAGTGTGGGGGACATAGATGTTTGAGCATACTTGCTGCCTCAGTGTAGAGCTCTTTACCTCATGAGTTTTATTACCTACTGCCAGAGGTACTTTTTTCTTAAGTCCTTACTGTTCTCTGAAATCCTAAGTTCTGAACTATGCTTGGACTCTGATTTAGGGTAAATTTTTGTTTTCTTATGGTATAGTATGTATAATGTAAAATTTAACCCTCTAAACATTTGAAGGTGTGCAGTTCAGTGGTCTTAAGAGTGTTGACCATATTGTGCAATGATCACCTCTCCTTATTTCCAGAACTTTCTGTTCCCTCCCCAAATAGAAATTCTTCCTTCCCCTCTTCCCATAGCCACTGGTTGTCACCAGACTGCTGTGTGTCTTTGTAGGTTGCCCGCTCAGGATATTTTAAAGATATAATCAGAACTTAGGAGGCAGCACAGTGTCAAGCACTTACATAGCATGCATGAGGCTTTGCGTTCACTGTGAAAAGAAAGTAAATAAACAAAATCATGTATGTAGTTTTCTAAGTGGTATCACACGAGTTTTTTTCCTCTTCATGTAGTAGTTAACCATTTTAATGTCTTCTTTGGAGAAATATCTTAATTTCTTCATCTTTTTTTTTTTTCCTTTGGTCTTTTTGAGACAGGGTCTCCCTGTAGTCTCAGCTGTCCTGGAACTCACTATGTAGACCAGGCTGGCCTTGAACTCACAGAGATCCACCTGCCTCTGCCTCCTGAGTGCTGGAATTAAAGGCGTGCACCACCACGCCCGGCTTCTTCATTCACTTTAACATAGGATTCTTTTTGTGTTTTTGGGTTATGAGTTCTTTATAATTTGGGTATACTCTTTATCAAATATATGATTTCTTTTTGTGTTTTTGGGTTATGAGTTCTTTATAATTTGGGTATACTCTTTATCAAGTATATGATTTGCCTGTATTTTCTCCAATTTTGTGTTCAGTTGTTTTAGTCTCAATATCGTCTTTTGATGAACAAAAGCTGTTTATTGTCAGAAATTCAGTTTAATCTATTTTTAAAATTATGTTGTTTGTGCTTTTGGTATTGTATTTAAGAAAATATTTGAAAGGCAAAGTCATTATGATTAATGTCGTTTTTAAAGGGTTTTGTAGTTTTAGCGTTTATATTTGGGTCTTTGGTCCATCTCGATAGGCTTATTTTAAGCAGAAGTGAGAGATGGTCAGCTGGAAGGACAGGGTCCAGTGCTCTTGGGGTGCTGCTAGTGTGCACTTTCAATTAGCTTCTTTTTTTTTCCTTTAGCCAAGACAGTCAACTCTAGCATCTTGCAGTGTGACTTGGAGTCTCTGACACGAAAGACCTCATACACTGTTTGGGTCATGGCCAGCACCAGAGCTGGGGGTTTCAATGGGACCGTGATAAACTTTAAGACATTGTCGATCAGTGAGTACTCTCTTCAAGCCTCTTTTTGGAATATACATTAAGCTGTAAATGCCATTTGTCAAGGTGAAGGGAAACTAATGGAAGGTAGCTGAAAGTGCAGAGCTATCCTCTGTCTGGCTCCCTCCCCTCCCTGGAAGGTGAGTGACGAGGAGTGACAGAGGAACAGCAGGCTTAGGGCTGAGGTTAGAAAGACGGGTCATTTTGCTCCTTCCCCATGGGTAGCCTTAAATAACCATAAGGGAGAGCAATCAATTTAGCATCTACTTCAGTCTCAGCTCCAAACTAGCTCCCATGACAAGGGCTATCCCAAGCTCAAACTCATCAGTTTCTATATGTCCCAAGTTATTGTGCAATAGGGCCTTGGAAGGAAAACCTTGGTTGATCAAGGACCATTGACACACAAGAAGGACTTAATGCTATTATCTGTGGAACTTTTGAGTAATAGGATATATATGTTCAACATACTTTTACATTTTAAAAAATGGGAGCAGAAGGAATTTAATAAATATAACAAATAATGTAAAATATAATAGTTTTATATGGTGGCTGGTTAAGGAAGATATTTAAGAGGAAAGTGGAGGAGTTGTGAAAAAAAGAGACAGATGAAATGAGAAGCAAGAAGAATGGGAGAAACAGGAGTACATTTTCTAAGTCCTTGAATGACACAGATTTGATTTTAAGGCCACATGAAAAGTATTTTAAGGACTGAACAAATTTTCAGATTAAAAATGAAGAAACATTGCCAAGTTTTGCAATAACTAGTACAAGCCAAAAAAATCTTGAAGTATTATCAAAAGCCTTTTGGTATTTAAACCAAATAATAAATACTCTATGTTTCTGGAAACTATGAGCAGAACATGTGTCTTTATATAGAAAATATTCTGTTCTGTGAGCCAACAATGCCTTCTTAGAATGCTTTTTAATATTGCTTTTTAAAAAATCATGTACTATTTTCACAACGCTAGCTCAAGTGTATCAGTTCATGGAATTTTCTCTGGGGATCAAATTGAAGGACAGACCCTGCCTTGGAGCTTAGAATGTCTCTTCCTTGGTTTCTATATTACAGACCACTCTCCTTCTATCTTGGATCTTCTACAATCCATTCTCACATAGCAGCTTTGGCTTGAAGTTCTAGATTCCTTGTTGAGCTTACCAGTCACTGCCCTTATATTTTAAACAAAATAAAGGCTCCTGTCCATGGCCTTCAGTGGCCTTCATTGTCTGCCCCTTACCTCATTTCCTGTCATTTTCTGCCTCTATGTTCCCTCTTCAAAGCTTTCCCACTTTCCTTGAATGATTTTCTCCATAATTCTACAGGGCAGGCTCTTTCTCATTAAGATCAACTATAGGGTGGTGGCACATGCCAATCCCAGCACTCAGGAGGCAGAAGCAGGAAGATTAAAGTTTAAGGGTAGATTGGGCTACATAGTGAGTTCCAGGCAAGTCTGGGATGCACAGTGAGACCCTATCTCAAAAATTAAATAAGTTATACATAAAGAAAAAATAAAGTTGCTAACCCCCTTCCACCTTATCCCCCACCCCCACTTGAAATAATCTTATGTTACTGTATTGGATTCTCTAGAAGAACAGAACTAGTATATATGGCTTACACAGTTGGAGGCTAGGTTGTCCAACAGTGACTGTCTTATGTTGCAGAGGCAAAGAACCTGGTAGCTGTTCAGCCTAAGAAGTTAGAATCCTTACAGCAAGGGTGGGGGTTAATGGTGCAGTCTTAGTCTAAAGCTGGAGGCCTGGAAGGTCTCCAGAGAGTTTCCAGAGTGAGTCCATGGGATGGCTAAGCTGAAGTCTGATATCCACTGGCCCCAGCAATCAGTGACTCGCCCAGGAAGAATGGAGCTTGTGGGCACTGCCTGGCCTTCTCTTTTTCTACCTTTACTCTATCTGGGTTCCAGCCTATTGGATGATGCTGCCCACATTCAGGGTGGGTCTTCCTCCAAAGTTGTTCTCCCATGCCAGTCTTCTCTGAAAACACCCTCACAGACACACAGGGAAGCATGTTTTACTATTCTCTAGGCTTCTCTCAGTCCAGTCAGAATGACAAGATTAACCATCACAGTTTTATTGTCTGAGTCCTTCTATCCCAGTAGAAGGTACATGTGAATAAGGATCTTATACTTCTTGCTCATTTGTTTGTTTTATTTCTCAGAATGATGTTTGGCTAATGGAAGATGGTCAGTAAGTAGTCACTAAATGAATGAAGTTGGAAGATGGTCTGATGAACATACCATCTGTCAATATATAATGTCTAAAATCTGAAAATGTCACAACTAGAGAGATGTCTCAGCATCAGAGATGTGCTCAGTTAAGAGCACATACTGCTCTTGCAGAGGACCCAGTTTTGGTTCCCAGCAGCCACATGGTGGCTTACAACCATCTGTAACTCCAGTTCCAGGGGATCTGATGCCTCTTCTGGCCTTCACAAGCACCAGCCATGCACATTGTGCACATACACACATGTAGGCAAAAGACTCCTGTGCATAACATAAAAATAAATAATGCAATTTGAAACTTTCATATTGAAACCCATTATTCTATACACTTAATATGCTAATACAAAAGAAAAATATATCCATGTTTATCATATTAGTAGAGAGAGGTCAGTTAGGTGGGTTTCATTTTAGTTGAAGGGACTTAAATGCAAGTGAAAGAAAGTTAATAAATGTTTCTGAAGCAACCAGAGAAAAAGTTGATCTTTGATTTTTGCTAAGGAAGTGGGGAATTCAGCTGATAACACCATGTTGCTCTCTTTCCCCTAAAGGTGTCGCTGAGATCATCTTCATAACTTCTCTGGTTGGAGGAGGGCTTCTTCTGCTTATCATCTTTACAGTGACCTCTGCTCTCAAAAAACCAGAGTGAGTTTATAGATAACAGCAAACGCCTAAGAGTCAGGGATAGTAAGAGGTGGAAGGCATCATGGGCACTTGGTAAAAGAAGGTACTCTACCCTGAGAGAGGGGGTGTTCATTCATTCGTTCATTCAGTTTGGTCCATAGTAAGATTAGTAAAGGCCACACCATGTGGTTCATCAAAATTCTGAGAAACAAGAGGACTTCCATCTGCATAGACCTATACACCAAGTCTAGATCATTCTGAAGCCAAGGAGTGCCAGGTGCCCCATAAGTTCTGTCTGTTAAATTTACCATCTAAGCCTAGGGTGGAGAGAAGGCCCTTTCTCTCAGTGTCTAGAGACCCCTGACAATAGAAGGAAGCAGAGCAGGGAGGGGGCTGTGAACCCCTGGAACTAGGATTTAGCTAGTTGCATGAGAGCACAAATCTGTTCCTTGTTTGTGCTGCAGAGTTAGAAGACTGGCTGCAGACTCATTTGTCCTGCCTGCTCTTGCTATTGTGGGGAAGGAAGCCTGTCTTCATCTTGTATTCCTTTCCACAGTGAACCTCATGGTACCTCAGTGCTTCCTCCCTGGTAGAGCTCTCTATACTGGACCCTGTGGGCCTTCTCTGCCAAGCAGCTATGCTGCATTAGTGACTGAGCTAATGTCAACCTCAATCAGCAACAATATGCTACACAGCACAAATTCTTGTATATCACGCTCTTAAGTAATCATCCTCAATCTGTGGCATGTGTCAGAATCAGGTCTACCCTGATGGTTTCTGACTCAGAGTTCTGGGATATTGTTTGGAAATCTGCATTCTGACATGCTTCTAGTGATGCTCGTGCTGCAGGAAGAAATTTCACTAGAGTGACTGTGATGGAGCAGCTTCCAGCATTAGGGCCATGAATAAAAGATGCAGGGGTGATGGAGAGGGAAAGGGAGGGGCAATGTCTCCTCCCATGATGTCCCATAGATAACTACCTCACTTTTCCTGTCTGTCAAGAGGCCAAGAGCTTCCTTTTGTTGAATAGGGAACCCTGCAATTCCCTTTTGCAAACCTCACCTTTTCTGCTCAGCACACAGAGCATGTGAAACATGTCCTGAACTCACCTCTTCTTTTAAAATCTTATCTCACCTCTTATTAGCCGGTTGACTCACCTGTGTTGTCCTGATGTTCCCAATCCTGCTGAAAGTAGTTTAGCCACATGGCGCGGAGATGACATCAAGGTACACCCTGCTGGGGAATTGTTTGCAGGCTGTCTGAGGGAGGTAGACCAGGTGGTTGGGAATTGGGGGAGCCTTTCTTGGGCTTCGCAGAGAAAGAAATGAAAGTCAAAAAGACCCAAGGAATAGCTGGCATAGCAGATGGAATCAGCTTTCTTAGATTACTTTGACTTTGTACCCTGGATTAGAGGAAAGGGCTTCACCAGAGCTTGAGGTGTTCCCAGCATGGAACTGACCCTGGAAAGGATGCCATGGAGAAAGACTCTGGGCCACCTTCACTGACTTGACTTATGATCAGGGAGGGAGAAGGTCTGCCTGTCAGCTATGAGGCCATTGAAAAAGCAGCAAAGAGCAAATGAATCTTACGATCACTCAGAGGGAAGGTAGGGAAATGGAAGCTGAAAGGAAAAGGCTGTTGCTTCAAATTGTGTTTCTTAGATGGTGAGAGTTAGAGGCAAATCTGGGGTCTCCTGGTGTATTGCTTTCAAGTAGAAATCTTCTTTTTTCACAAATTTTAAAATAAGAAACTTGAGAAGTTTCCAAGTTATAATTGTTCCCTTAAGTTGAATAAGCCCAGGCAAATATAACCCTTAAATCCTTATTATTACGTCTGTTTCCAGTTTTCCCTGATGCAGGATTTTTAAATATTAGTCCTTTTTCAACTCAGAAGGCTTTAAAAAAACGCACAAGCACTCTTGTAATAATGGACTTTATTTTTGTCCCCTCCTTTCTCATATCAGTCTTATATTAGCTTTTTCACTTTCCTGGTTATTAAAAGCTACTTGAGAGCCAATGAATTCATAGGCAGTGCTATCTGGTGATGGAAATGCTCTTTGCATAATCTGTAGGTCAGTCCTCTACAGCACACACTGATTAATCATGTACTGTTCCAGGCACTAGGCCAGGTCCCAGGGAGACAAAGAGGACAAAGACCCTGCCCCACCCAGAGACCACCTTTGTTTTTCTGATGGTGTTGGCAGAGCTGCCTTTATGGTTGTGATTTTGCCATGTCTAAGAGCTCTCATCTCATATGAGGTTTTGTGAACATGGTGTGGAAAATAAACTAAGTTCTCGGGAAGAACAACAGAATATGAGGTGTTGTTTTTCAGGAAATGCAGTACTGCTACCAAGCTCTTGAGGAGATGACTTACCACCATCTGGACAAGGCAGGGATGTAGGGTCTGTGGTGAAAGGTGGGGCTTTGGTATCCCCACTGTAATGATCTGACTATATCATCTGTACTCCTTAAGTGACTGCTGGGGTATCCCTTTTTCTTTTCTAGGATAAGTCAAATAAGGAGGAAGTCGATGACTCTGGCAACACAGACGACAGGATCCTAAAAGTATGTTCTGTCCCTGCTGACCTCATTGACAAGTTAGTGGTGAACTTTGAGAATTTTCTGGAAGTCATTTCCACAGAGGAAGTTGCAAAAGGTCAGGAAAACATTTTGGGAGGAGAAGCAAATGAGTATGTGACCTCCCCATCTAGGCCTCCCTGTTCCCCAGGGAAAAGTTTGGAGGAGCCCCTGGTCATCACTGAGATTACTTCCAGAGATTCCAATAACCAATGTCTGGAAATGGTGGAAGAGATATACTCACAAGCCAATGAGCAACTTCTTTCTTCTGGCCAAAGTTTAGGACTAGATTATCTCTCTGAAGGAGTTCCAAATCCATATTTGAAAAATTCAGTGACAACCAGAGAATTTCTTGTGCATGACAATGCACACCAAGAGACAAAGCCAAGTGCCATCATGATGTGATACCCTTGCAGACTGAATGAATCCCTTGCCTAGGGAAGATACCGGAGACTTCCAGAAGTGCTTCGTTGGCCCCTCCACACTCATTCTGCCCTGAGCTGAGCTGCACTGGACTTGGTGACACAGATGTGGGCTTGTGCTAGGAAGAAGGAGTAGTGGTAAGCCTGAGTGCTTTATAGGGAAAAAGTAATTTATTTTCTTTTGATTGGGTAACAAGCTCTCACTGAGGCTCTTTGAAATGATGATGAAAGGAAGGACCCATGTTCTGAGCCTCAAGGACTCCTGAGGTGGACACATCTGATCTTCCCCTGGAATTGGATCTTGGTCTCTACTCTCAGAGTTCCAGGAGGACAGTTGTTTGGTTGGTCCTTGGCTCTCTGATGGGGACTAGGACTCAACCACTCCCCCCTTTTTCCCTGAACCCTTATTCTCCTTCACACAGGGGCTGGGAAGTAGAGTGGAATTCCTAATGGTGTGCTGAGGCTTCTCATAGCCCTTGCTCATCTCAAGGGTCTACAGCACTGCCCCTCTGGGGACTCTTCAACCCCAACTCATTTTCTTTCTTTTTCTTTTGTGGTACTGAGGATTGAACCCAGGGTCTTATTCATGCTAGGTAAGCACTCTACCTACTTCTTCACCCCCAGTTTATTGTATATTGACGGCTAGTAAAGTAAAAAATGAGAGCGGGCTTCAGTAGGACACTGGGAATGGACCCTGGGCTAGAAAGCCGGTCTGTCCCAGTCTGTAGGCATTTCCCAGCTCTCCTGCCCTTCTGTCTTATACCCATACCTGAAAGCAGAAGACACCAAACATTATGGTGGCTTTTGTGTAGGGACACTGACCCTCAACAATGGTGTGGAACCCAGGAATTCTTACTGAGCAGACTGTTAAAAGGCCTGTTCTCAGCCACACTGAGCATGTAGAACTTAGCAAGTTCACTGCTGCCTCATAAGGACCTCTGTTCCCTTGCTAGACACAGAGCTTGTGACAATTTAGTTGAGCCTTTGGCAAAAATGATGGCCACAGGATTTGTTTGCCCAGGCCTGGGGAACTGTGGCTGGGAGCAGCAGGGGAGGTTACTGGGAACCTGGTGAGATCAGGGTAGGCAAGGCAAAGAGTGAGTGGCCAGAGGTGCCATGAATCTAGCATTTATAGCGAGGAAGCCTGGTGGTATTTTTTTCTAGGAGTTTGAGTAGACAATGTTGGACTTCAGACATACATTTCATAAACCACCAGTTCAGGTGTGTAGGAACATCATTTAAACTTTCATATGAGTAACATTAATTGCTAGCCCAAGACCTTGATATTCTGATATAATGGCAGCCCAATTTTGTGGTTTCTGAGTCCCTGCTGGTTTGGAACTCGGTCATTGTCAGGACTTGACCTTCTCAGTCCTCCCTGGGACTGATTAAGGATATTCAGCATCTTTAAGGCTGGGCTGGTGAGTGGAGTCCTCTGAGGTCACTTATTTGTCCAGAAAGGATTTTGCCAACTGGTCTCATGCATGTGCCTGTAGCTCCACTCGCCCTGTTGGCTCACCTGCCACTTTTCTTGGTTGCATCCTACTGTGGGTCCAGGAAGACTTGGCTACTCCCCAGTGCCCCTCTCCCTCCTCATTCCATCTAAATGCAAGTCTTCATTATGTTTCAAGTGGCTTTAGCCTCCTCCATACCCTGTTCTTTCTCCCTTGTTTACACACAATGACTGCTGATAAATCAGGGAACCAGGAAGGCCAAGGTGAGGCTAGGCATTAGGGACATGGACTCTTGGAACAAGATGTCACTCTCATAACCTTTTTTCTTGCTCCTTGGAGGAGGCTTTGGAACCTAGAATCCAAGAACTTGGTGGCCAGGGTGGGAGGGGGACAGATGGCTCCCCAGAGCGGGCACTGGAGCTGAAGATGCTGCCCTCTACCAGCCCCGCTTAGTCATTGATGCTGGCAGCATCTTAGGTTGCCGTTTGCTGCTCCTTTCCTGCCCGTCCTCAGTTTCACTTCCTCTTCCCCTTTCTGGCTTTCCATCCTGCCTCCTGTCTTCCCTTTTACAAGCTCCCTGAATGGCTCATCCTTCCAACTCTTGTTTCTTTTTACCTCTCCTCTTCTCGTAGCTTCCTTGTGCTATTTTCTCTATTGCCTTTGTTGGGAAGGGACATTGCAGGGCCTGTGTTGTCTGAGGTGGTCTCAGAGGAGCCAGCTCCAGGGACAGTTGGTTTTTCCTTTCATGCTGAGCTCTGCAGCGTGACTCACAGGACACAGGCTTAGGGGCCATGAAGACTTCCTTGCCTGGATCAAGTCACCAAATGTCCCCATTCCCAGTTCCCTGGCCTGCTTCTGCTGGTGGAGAAGGCTATCCATGTGTTTTGTTTGCTGTCAAAGAAAAGAGGTGTTGGGAGGACTCACAGGAGAGTCATTAAGTCAGCAGTCATTGAGAACTGATGAAATTCCATTCAAAGAGCTTTCCAGGGGCCCTGGGAACCATGCCAAGGCTAGATTAGTGCCATTAATGGCCTTTCATTTACAATGAAAGAAAAATTTAAAAGAATGGAGAAACCAATTTGTTGTTAAATAACAACAAAAACAAGAGCAATGCTTTCCTTCTGTCCCAGGAGAGGCACATTGTGATAAGGAACCCTGCAGGGGTCTGCAGGAAGCAGGCAAAAGGAGAGAAGGGAAAGGAATCCCAGTGTGGATCCCTCTGCTCCCTCTGCAGCTCCTCCTCCTAAGCTTGCAGCCTGTGCCCAGGCACTGGCTCTATGCCATCGGCTTTCCATCAAGCTCTTAGTATGGTTAATGGCTGCAGAGTAGGGGTCTCAGACTGCCTCTCTCAATCCAATCGTGGTGTGGTTTGTGCAGGGCTATGAGCTAATAATCATACTGGCATTTTTAAATGGCTGAACATAAAAATCAATGAAGGAATACTATTTCGTAATGTGGAAGGTATATGAAATTCAAACTTCAGGGCCCATAAATGAAACTTAATGAGGAGCTGAGTCACACCTATCATTTACATACCATCTGTGGTTGCTCCTCCCACAAAACACATTGAGTAACTGTGACAGACTTACTCCTGCAAAGCCTTCAGTATTTCCCACCTGGTCCTTTGCAGAAGGTTTGTGGACATTTGCTCATTGGACAGCATTGTTTTAACTTTGAATTGGCTGCTAAATTAGAAAAACATTTTTAAAAAGTTAAGGGGCTGGGAGATGTCAGTGGGTAAGAGTGATTGCTGAGCCAGCATGAGCACGTTAGTTCAAATCGGTACTTAAAAAGCTGGGTGTAGCCATGCGCCTTGTAGCCCCAGGGCTGTGGGGGCTGGGGACAGGAGGATTGCTGGGGCTTGCTAGCCTCCAGTCTACTCCAGGTTCAGTGAGAAACCCTGTCTCAAGGCAGTAAGGCAGAATGACAGAGGAGGATGTTGGCGTCCTCCTGTGGGCTCCAGGCACATGCATGAGCACACACACACACACACACACACACACACACACACACACACACACACACGTGCATACTCCCCCCGCCCCAACACCAAAACAAAATCAGGATACCATTCTGGATTTCTAGCTGAACATCTGCGTCCTTTAGAAGAGCACAGATGCAGGCTCCCTCAGCCCTTATCTCTTCCTGGCTCCTGACAATACCTGCGGTGGAGAGTTGGTGGCTCTCTATCACTTGGACTGGCGGTTCTCAACCAGGGTGATTTAGCTCCACCTCCAGCGTCACACGTGACATTAGCAATGCCTGGGGAGGCTTTGGCTATCACGGCTGGGAGAGTGCTGCTGGCATCTAGTGGACAGTGGCCCGCATTGCTGCGCTCATCCTACAATGCACAGACAGACTCACAGCGGAGGAGTACAGGTCCCCAGACAAGTGCTGAGGTTGAAAAACCCAGCCTGACTCCTGACTCCTTCTGCTTTTCAGGCCCATAGCATTTACCTGAGTGTGGCTTGGATCAGTAAGTAGCTCTAGCATGTGCTCCCCCCGCCTCATGTTTTTATCTATTTACAAGTTATACATTCAATCTATTGCCTTCTCCCCTTACTTTCATTCCGTACATAAAACTCAGCAAGAATGTCATTCATGGTGATATTATACCATTTTTAACAGTCATTCTGAACTGCCACACGCCTGCCTGTTGTGGTCTGCCAAGCCCTAGTCAATAGGCTTGTTTGGAATATCTTCCTAGTATAGAGAGTTACTTCAATAAACATCTTTGTACCAAATTTTCTTTTCTCACCTTCATCCTGTCTACTTGGGATTATTTCCAAAACTGAATTGCTGGGTATAAGTTTTATGGTTATTGTCACATCTTGCTTGATGTACTCCAGAAGGCACCCCCAAAAGGCTGCACTGATTTACATGTCACCTGAGACATCTGAGGGATAGCTTGTCCCTTTCCTCTGATAATCAGCTGTTTACTGCTGTGTGCTTGATTTTGTTTTTGATAATTATCATGTAAATGTTAATTATCAATAATGCCTATCCATAACCAAATATGTGGAGGTGTTGGTGTCTTGCACTCTTACTGTAGGGGTCTGGAAGAATGGAGTCTAGCAAAGGATATTGGACACTGGGGTCAGTAGGTAGAGAATTTGTCCAGGAGCACAAACAGCCCTAGTACATGTTGGAAGAGCCCAGAGGCCAAATCTTTTCCTCTGTATGGAACTCTGTGTAGGCAGTCCTGGGTAAGGCACCTTCCACACACTGTAGAGAATGATGCAGAGGCAAAGAAGGGAACTCAGGAGAGGGCAAAAGCTGAATCAACAGAGGCCCCCAGCTCACTCAGGGGAAGCTGGATACTTAAATACTACCAATTTCATTTTTAGGCAAGGGATCTTGTCCTGCCCAATTTCAATATATGTGTGAGCTGTTCTGAGGCCTAGACTTTGAAATGGAAATCAAAATATGCGAACCAGAGAGTTCTGTGCCATTGCAGCAACAGGAAATGTTCTGTGTCCCTCAAGGCTGGGCATGCTTGCTTCGCCACAGATTGATCATGTGTGAACAGGAGCTGTGTGGCTTCAAGTGAGGCTGAAAACATAACTCTTGCATTGGGAAGAGCTTTCAGGAAACAGATGCAGATGAGTATCAATGCATCTGCACTTTGGCCATTCAGATAATAAAGCCATGGTAGCATTTTACTGTGATTCTGTACTTCTCTTTTAAGATTTGACCTACTTCCTGGGGATGGAGAGATGGCTCAGCAGTTAAGAGCACTGACTGCTCTTGTAGAGGACCCGGGTTCGATTCCCAGCACCCACATGGCGGCTACAAACCGTCCTTAACTCCAGTTCCAGGGGAAACCGAAGCTGTCTTCTGACATCTGTGGCATTGCACGACATGGGTACACTCACATACATGTGGACAAAACACTCATACACGTAGAATAAAAATAATAAATAAAATATTAAAAGAAAAAGATTGGACCTACTTCACTGTTTAATCTGAGTATGGCCAGTTGTGCTGCACAGCTGTAATCCTGGAACTCAGGAGGCAGAGGCAGGACGACTGCTGCAAGCCTGGAGCCAGCTTGGTTTGTACACCAAGATCTACACTAGCAAGGGAGGCAAAGTGAGAGCCTGTCTCAAAAAGCAGAAATAAAACAAAACCCCTAAACAACACACACAGACACACCACCACCACCACCACCACCATCAAAACAAACAACAAACTGAGGGTATTGGGTGTGGAGAATGAATAGAGATGGGGGGGGGTGTGATAGTTAAGGAAAAGAGCCACAGGTGACCAGGACTCTCCAGGTCGTTATACCCTCTGTACATCCTGCCAGCTATGCTGAGGATCCCAAGCTCTCTCTTCTTCTTTTTTTTCCTGCCTGGCAGAATCTCCAAACTTCTTTTGGCTCCCTGGGTGCCCATAGGTCTCACCTCACTAGTCCTAGCAAACAACATTCTCCCACCTCACTGAGCTTGTGCCACCAGCCCATCTCTCTTGTCCTGTGCAAACCAGGTTCCTGGGAAGGTCTCAGGGTGACAAGTGGTCCTGTTTCTTTCTTAAGCTCTGGACCCTCCTCCACCTTGCAGGATCATCTCCCTCGCTGGCAGTTCCTTCCCCCAGCTTCTAAACATGCTTGCTCAGGCAGCTTCCATCTTAAAGAGACCCCCGGATCTTCACCTGACTTCCTGTGCCTTCCTCAGAGGCCAGGCTGAGGCTGAAGGGCAAACGCCTGGTCCTGTGTAGCAGCTTCTTCAGGTGTCTGAACAGTTTTTTGGTTTCCTTCCTTCCTTCTTCCTTCTTTTTGAAAAGAGAACATTGCTAGAACTTTCTAGAGAGTTAGGAAGCAAACCCTTGAAAACAGACAATTTAGGGACAATGACAAAAAAAGACTGATAAATATCCAAATACCAGGCAAATATTCAGCCATTTTTCTGAGGCAATACCTCACACCGAGTTATCACACACTTTAATCCCAGCATTACAAAGAATAATACACTGTATTCCCACTATAACCTCTGGCTACATTCTTTCTTTACTTAGGTTTTAAAGTTACCAGCAATTATTTTTTTGCCAGGCTCCATTCTTGGGCTTTGAATGTCTCCCTGGGAATCCTTTCAACCATGCTATGAGGTAAAAAGCTTTATCCAGTTACAGACAGGAAACAGATCTCTGAGAGGTTAAGGGGTATGGACAAAGTTCTGTGACCCTGAGGTAGTGAATTGGAGCCCAGGACTCTGACTTCCCTTGTGCCCTTCCACTTCAGGTTAATAATACAGCAGACAGTGAGCTAACTATGGTTGACAATTGATTGGATATTTCAAAGTAGTCAGTAGGGGGGATTTTGAATGTCCCTAACATACAAAAACAGTAAATGTCTGTGGTGTTATGCTAGTTACACTATTTGATCATTACTCATTGTGTACACAGAAATGTCGCACTGTATACCCACACTACTGTAAAATTACTGAGAATGGCTATTAAGAAGAAAAAAAGAGTGAAGAAGCGGGGGAGGGAGGGAGACAGGGAGGGAGAGAGGGAGGACAAAACAGCCTATTGCCAGAGAGAGATGAAACAGAGACTCACAGGGGTGGGGATCTCTTTTTGATGGGGACTGTGGAGCCCCCTACCTGGGATGTCTTCTAGGACCCTGAGATTGGAATCTAGTGGGTCACCACTTCTTGCTTTCTTCACTACAAAACCTCCTTCCCCATCAGTAGGTTCCACTTCGCCTGATCCTGTGCCACAGTGCCAGCCTTCATCACCTTCAAGGAGCCTCCTCACTCTTCTCTGCCTCAGAGCTGCTTCCTCCCCACACCTGGCTTCTGGAAAGCCACTTCAGTGCACAGTTCTGGTTCCCCAGACATGGCTGCTGCTGCTTCTCAATTCCCTCTAGTTTATAGGTAAAGGATGGACTCCTTGGCATAGTGATGGATAAAGTTTCTTCTAAATTATTGGCTCAACTATTGTACTTTCAAAGAATTAGGAGTCCAAAGAGCATCTTTTGAAAAAAATTATATGTGTATATGTGTGTGCATGATGTGTGGGAGGTAAGTGTATGTGTGAAGAGAGGTCAGAGGACAACTTTGGGGAGTCGGTGGTTCTGCCCTTCCACCTTTATGTGGGTTCCAGGAATCCAGTAAGCTTACATGGCAAATGCTTTTGACAGGTAAGCCATCTCACTGACCCCAAAAACTATCTTATACCTGCTGTAACACATTATTGTAAATTTAATTAAACACCATAAATTATCTTAGAGTTGTGTAGTGGAAGTCCAACTGGGTCTCACTGGGTCAAAAGGAAGGTGTTGTCAAAGCTGTGCTTCATTTCAGAGACTCATCCTGGCTTTTTCTAGTGCCTGGAGTGTCTGTCTGTGCCGTGGTCTCTTGCTCCCTTTACTGAGCCAGCAGGGCTGTGTCCCTCTGCTCTGCTGCGGTCATGTATGTCTTGTGCTGTCCACAGGGCCTGGGCTCAGCCTGTCTGCTGGGCTGGGCTTATTAAGTATGCATCTCTTAGTCTGGGTGCCCCTTCCCCCCAGGATTTCCTCTTTGTTCTTCCTGTTTGTTCCTATGCCCCTGCCCCCACCCTCAACCCCAGATCAGCCTTGTGAGATCAGAACCAAGGCTAGAGCTTAGAATCTTGCTGATAAACTGCCTAGAAAACCTAGTCTAGAAACCTGCCATAGGCAGGTCTAGCTGGACTTCTACAGCTTGGTTCCGCATTATATGGAACATAGGGCAAATAAAGGCACATCATCTCCCAGAAAGGCTCCAAGACCAAAGGAGTGAGGGAGCAGGGGTGCCCGCTCCAGGGGCAGGGCTAGGGCAGGTGAGAACCTTGGCCCATCAGAGCAGGCCTCTGAATGGAGTCCAGGAGATGTGGAGCTAAATCCTAATGGACTTCCATCTCAATTCAGAATTCTAGAGGTTCGGCAAGCACTGAGAACACACAGCACTCAGCAGCCCATGAAAGTGCATCCTGACTAATGAAAAGTTTAGATCATTAGGAGGACTGAAACCCAAACTGGGTCAGATGTGTTGGAGCTCATTTGTAATCCTAGCACAGCACTTGGGAGGTGGAGGAAGGAGCATGGAGAGCTCAAAACCAATCTACATAGTGAGACCCTGTCTCAGAACAACCAAACCCAACCAACAGACAGACAACCACAACTAGATGTGTGCACGTTTCAAATGTATTTCAAGTCTGCCTTTATATGAAATATCTCAAAGGACACACACAATCTGGCTGGCCTTTCAAAATAGACACATATTTACTGAGAAGCTAGGCTGCACATTTTTTGTATGTGTCAACTTGTGCTAAAGGATCTGTTTAGCTCATCCCAAGATATGTTTTATCAGACAGGCTTTGCTGTCCTCTAGGGAATAAACAGGAGTCCCAGGAAAAATGACAGACTTACTGGATGTTGATTTCCTGGTGATAAAATAACAGCCTCCTAGCTGGGACACTTTATCCTTTAAATAAGGGGGGCATGCTCCACCCAAAGGCAACTGCTCTCAGACCCAGAACAATACTGGCTGTCACAGGTCAGAATTTTCCCTCTTTTCTAGAATGCAGAGCCTCACCAGCTCTCCCCCACACCAAATGAAAACCGGAAACAACAATAACAACAAAACCCAATACAAAAAGTTCTATAAAGAAACCAACAGAACAACAGGACTGCTGTCACCTGAGTTTTCTTCGAATCCCTGGATTCCTTGGCTGGGAAAGCTGAGGGAACAAGCTCAGGACAGTCCCCCTAAGCAAAGCCTGTGGCACCTGAGGCCCATTGCTGCATAGCAGTGTGGATGTTCAGGGTTCACAGAAGGGTACTGTCCCCAGAAAAGCTGAGTGGTACATCAGAGGCAGGACTTGGCTAATTTGATAGGTGGAAAGAGGGGCAGGTTCCTGGAGCCCAGCAGAGCTTGCATATTCAATCATAGTGCAGTATGAGAGTTGGACCAGCCCTTGGCGAGGGGCAGCAAGGAGGAAGTATAAGATGGTGAAGACTTGGGAGCATTTGCACACCCTGGCCATCATATCCCCAGCCATACCACCATCATTAGATTATGGGCTCAATGGCAAACCAAGACATCTCTAATTTACTGCCTGCCTGCAAGACTATGTATGTAACCCAGTAACAAAGCCCTCTTTTCTAGGGTCCCCACGGTCACCTACTTTTCTCTCCTCCTATACTGGTAGCTAGAGTTCCTGAGGGCAGAGTCATCAGGCACATGCTAGCTGAAGGCATAGTAATAGCTTGAAAACTTGTACCCACATAATGTAGGTAACAAGTAAAAGAGGGGACAGAATCAGGAGCTGCACTGTAGGGTCACACCTTTCCATATGCCAGGGAAACTGGAGTTTTTGCACAATAGTCCTACAACCTTATAAATCCTCTGATCCACACAACCAGTCACTATACTTGCATCTGGCCCTACCTGAATTAAGAAGTTAAATTCAATAGACATCTCAGAACTGATATGGGGCTTTTGTGGCTTTGCTGAGCCCCATGGTGGTTCATGATCTCTGCAAGGAAGAGAAGACTCTGGAAGACCTGGAGTGACTTAGACTGTCATAAAAAACAAAAATCAGATTTAAAAAGTGCTAAAACAATCAAGAGCAAATGAAAAAAGAAAAAGCAGATAAAGGAGTCTGTCTGGGTCACTCAAAAGCACATGTGGGAGGGCTGGAAGGATGGCTCAGTGGTTAAGAGCACTTGTTGCTCTTGTATAGGACCTAGGTTCAGT